ATTCATTATGTTGCCCATGACTCTAAAAAATTATTACTGTATTTTGTTGATGATGACCACAAACACAAGTCCTACCCAGGGTATGCAGGAAATTGTGAATAATAACTTGTTTTCTAGTCATGTTAAATTTTCATTTAAAGAATTTTATGCCATAACATAGGACAACTCTTCCAACTGTTTCTTCTCTTGCACTCTTAAACCATAATCACAGCATTCCTAGACTGTGAGCTCTTTTAATATTGACCACACCCCTATCTCCCATACACCATCACCAACAGGGAACGTATGTGAAGGGCCCGTGGGTGCAGCAAGGAGAGTGATCCCATTCTTGTATGCCTCCTTTGGCATGACTTAAGACTGACATGGGAGAAAGCATTGCATCACCACATTACTCAGAAGCCAAAGAGGATACCAGTTGGAAAGGGCCCTTCGGCACCGTGCATTAATAATCTCAAAAGCACACAGAAATGATCCTGGAAGGAGAAAATTGGAACTGCCCCAGAGGACTATCAGACACAAGAAATGGAGTCTTCAGAAGGGGTGGAGTGACTACTCTGGGTGCCAGTGATGGGGCAGGTAGGGGGTTGGTATATAGAATAAAACATGTCTGTTGCCACCCTGTTGCCTTCAGGTACTGTGGACCTCCAGCAGCTCCACAGTTATAACACTGACAGGGAGGGACAACACAGGGACCCAAACACATGGCTCAAGCCCAAGAGTTGGTGGAGGACTGTCGGTAGCCCAGAGACTTGAACTCATCTTGTTTTTGACCTCAAATCAGCATGTCAGCACCATTCTGGAGATCCAATATCACACCATTCTGTGAAATGAATACTGTGTTGGCCAGCAAGTATGATCAGCTTACCAGGATGCCCTCTTGGAATTGAGGCTTGGTCACAGGGCCCTGGGATGTCCCCATATGCATAAGTTCCAGAGCTCCTTAGGCATCCAGGGATTGGAGAATGCCATGAAGGGGAAAAGCTGGGACAAGGGCTCATGCAGGTTCTGGTTTGGGCTCAGCACTGATGGCACTGATGGCCCTGGCTGGTCCCAGGTACCAGAGAGAGACATGAAATTTCCAGGAAGGTGCTCCAAAGCATGAGGCTCTTTAAGGCACAGGACCCAGGACAGGGATCTCAGTATAGGGTGTTATAAAGAGATGATTGCTATTTTACTTATGAGGATAAGTCATAAAAAAAGCTTCTGTCTAGCTCTCTCTGTCACTGGGATTGCTCACTCTGGAGGAAGTGAGCCCTCATGTTGTGAGAGCATTCAAACAGCCCTATGGAGGACCCCCATATGGAGAGGAACTAAGGTCTCCTAACAACAGCCAGCACCAAATTGTTAGCTATATGAATGAGCCACCTTGGAAGTACTTCCTCCAGCCCCAGTCAAGCCTTTGGATGACTGCAGTCCCTGTTGACAACAGGCACCTCATGAGAAACTCTAAGCCAGAAATGTGCAGCTAAGCTGATCTCAAATTCTTGACCCACAGAAAACATAATAATAAATAATTATTGCTTTAAGCCACTAAATTTTGGGGTGACTTGTTACAAAGCAGTAGATAAATAATACGTAGGACTAAAAATCTGGGAGTCACCTTTGACTCCTCTCTATTGCTCTTATATCCCACATACAATTTGCCAACAAATCATATTGGTTTTTTTTTTTTTTTTTTAAGATGACTGGTAATGGGCTCTTAACCCTTGACTTCCTGTTGTCAGCACCACGCTCACCCAGTGAGCTAACCGGCCATCCCTATATGGGATCCGAACCCCTGGCCTTGGTGTTATCAGCACCACACTCTCCTGAGTGAGCCACGGGCTGGACCAAAGCATATTGGTTTTACCTTCAAAATATATCCAGAATCTGTCGACTTCCCACCACCTCCACCACTACCACTTTGGCACGAGCCTTTTAACTGCACTGCTTCTATCCTTGACTTTCCATAGTTTATTTATGCGGCTGGCCAGTACGGGGATCTGAACCCTTGACCTTATAACACCACACTCTAACCAACTGAGCTAACTGGCCAGCCCTATTTTCATACAACAGTGAGTGTTTCTGTAAAAAAGTAAGTTGGATTACGTTATTCCTCTGCTCAAAATCCTGTAATGGTTACCCATTTTTCTCAAAAAAAGCCAAAGTCCTTTAAAGCCTTTCAAGGCCCTACATGATCTGCTTTCACCATACTACCTCTCTTGACTGCATCCTCTGTAATTCTGCCCCAAATTACAGCACTCTAGCCACACTGACCTTTTTACTGTTCTTCAACTGTGCCAGGAATTGTCCTGACTTCATTTTTGCACTTGCTGTTCCTGTCTAGAATACTCTCTTTAGATCCTGCATTGCTCAATCCCTCACCCCATTGAAGTTATTGCTCAAGTGTCATCTCAATAAAGCCTACCACCTCTGTAATTTCTACCTGCACATCTGTCAAAACTTCTGATCCCAATTGGCCTCCCTACTCTATTTAATAGCACTTATACTCTAACACACTATGTAATTTACATATTACGCTTATTATTTAGTTTTTCTCCCCTTGCTAGAATGTAAGCTCTACTGAGGGCAGTGATCTTTGTGTTGTGTTCACCAATGGGTCCACAAGTACCTAAAATAGGCACATCTTAGGTGCTCAGTGAATAACCTATGCCAGTCAACACCATGCACGCCAAACTCTTAGCAACCTATTGTTCCAGCCAGAGAATTCAATATTAGCCTGACAAAGGTTTATTGTGCCTTAAGCATGGCATGAAAATAGAGTGGCTGCACCTAAAAGGGCCATACTAATACAAAGGTAAAAATCTCTGCAGCAACCTGTGCAGATTGATGGCCAGGAACAAGATAGGCCCTGTTTACCAGCACTCTGCCCAAGAAATGTGGCAGAAATTAGGAGGTGGGAGAAACTCCAAGGAAGAGTGATAATACATTTTCTTCCATTCTGGTGGAATGAGCTTCAGAGTAAATATTAGGTTGCATTATAGAAATAAACATTTATTGCATAGCTGGGTTCGTGTACTGAGAATCATACCCTGCACATTTGTATTCTTTACCAAAAAGATAACTATTCTACCCTTCTAGAAAGTGATTTCCTAAATGATGGATTCTGATCTATTTCCATTGATCAAATGCCTAATAGAAATTTCTTCCATCATTTTGCCAGAAACTTTTCTGTCCATGGGCCATTTCCTCATCTGTAAAATGATGTGCTGGGGTGGGTCTATGTTCTGTGGGTCCTAAAACGTATAGAATTGTGGGGCTCTAAAATTATGTTATAAAGTCAATATTCATTTAGGGTAAATAAAATTATGTAATGAAGAGTACAAATTAGGTAATAAAGTCAATATTTATTTTGAATGAAAAAAATCATTACAGAGTTTAAAATGCTGACAAAACCACGGACATCACAAAATCCAGAAAAATAACATTAACTGCTTGGCAACCACTATAATCCTTTTTTCCCCTACATTGTTTGGCTGCATACGCTTTGCCTCTTCTTATGACCACTTTATATTATTATTATACATATATATATATATTTTTAAAAACATGACCGGTAAGGGGATCTTAACTCTTGACTTGGTATTGTCAGCATCAGGCTCTCCGAAGTGAGCGAACCGGCCATCCCTATGTTGGGATCCCAACCCGTGGCCTTGGTGTTATCAGCACCACACTCTCCCAAGTGCACTTTATATTATTTTAATAGAGATATTAGAAAGGTAAATTAGAAAGAAAAAAATAGGTCTCTAAACATTATTGATAGTTTATAAACTTTTGTTTACCAGCTTCACAATTCCTTACTGTAAGTTCTTGCACAGGTGATGCGCCTTGCTGGGGACAAACCCTGGGGGGGTCGGGGGGGGAACTCTAGCCCTTTGATTTCCCTTAGCTTGGTCTCCACAGGGGCTGTTAGGACAGCTCGGTCAGGTCGTCGCCGCCCTTGTCCCCTCGCCCACCCACCTCACCCCCAACTCACAGGGTCGAGATAACTATAAAGAACCAAGCCCCTCCCCAAGCAAGAGGATGGGGAGGTGGTCCTGGAAGCCCGCCCGCCCCGCCAGCGGCCCCAAGACCACCAGTTGGCCTTTTTGGGTGACCTCCATGCTGGGGTCCAAGCTCCTAATGCAGGACTAGGGCTGCTATTTCCTCGCGTTCCTGGAAAATTCGCTGATCCTTCAAAAGTGCTCTGAAGCTTAAGCTGTGCTAGATTCATGGTAAATCGGCCCCTGTGAGGATGCTTTTCCATGTGTTCGCTGAATCGCTTTCCTCCATTAACATTCCATGAGAAACCTAAAACCGGAATCCCTGGCTCTGTCCCATCACACGTCGTGGAGGCTCTATTACTTGCCCCGTGTCTCGGGCGGGACCTGACCCTCTTCACTTCCTCCACTAGAGTAGTCGATGGACTACGATCTTTCCTTACTGTGGGGGAAGAAGGAGGAGACATTTTGATGCAACTGCTGCTGGTGGCCAGAGTCTTGATCGACAAGGCCATTAGCTAATGATTCCGAAGTAAGCAGCCGTTGTTTATGCACGTACAGCCAATAGAAAGGCAGGAGTGTGGGCAAAGGCCAATGAGGACTGGGTTTAAGCTGGACGCGGGGGCGGGGCTTCCCACGAGGGGCGGGCGCTAGGTAAAGAGTCTGGAGCCAATCCTGGGAGAGTCAGAGCACATCCGGTGTTAGAAGAGGTGGTGGGCTCCTGAGAGGCTGGTGAAGAAGGTAAGTTTGAAGCTAGGCCTAGGGAAACCCAGAGAGAGGAGTGGAAAGGGAGTTAGTAGTCATTGTCTGAGCAAGGGTGGGATTAGCTTCCGCTTTCTGACAGATTGCGTCCTGAGAGAACTGAGCCCCGCTCGGCGGCTAAACTCCGGAAAGCTGGGCGGGGAGGGAAGCTGGGGAACCAGTGTGGCGCATGCGCAGCCGTGGTGGGGCGGGGGCGAGTCTGCGGGGTCTTTGGGGGTGTGGAAGCCCTCATTCTGCACCAGAGCACTAGTGAAGGCTCTTCCTTAGCTTTCCTTCCTCGCTTCCACTCCGCGTTCCTTCTCCTCCTCCCCCTCTGCTAAGTGTAGATAGACGCAGGGGCCGCTTGGCCCAGCCTCGATCGCTGGAATTCAGGGCACGCCCCTTCCTTCCGAGGAGAATGAAAGCGGAACCTCACCGTTTGTGGTCACGCCCGCCCCAACCAGCCGATCGCTACTCTGCTGCGGGTCCTCTGGTCAGAGTGCCTCTGGGTGAGGGCCGGTGGCCGGGACTCTGCTAGGGGCCTGGACGGGCAGGCTGCCCTGTTACGGCGGGGCGGGTGATGTCACACTCCTCTGTGACACTCGAGGCTTCTTAGTGACTTGGAAGCCAACAGCAGAGGCGGGAGGTGAGGAGACTGGGACTTGGCCTGGCTTCGCAGCCCTACAGGGCAACCTCGCTCTGGTCTGATTGGTTACCTTTGGGCAGGTGAGGTGGCCTTGCTTTGCTTGGTCCAGAGCCTTGTGGGCGTCGTTGGGCGGTTGTTTTCTTGGACCTACTTGGTGGAGCTGTGGTAATAAGTAGGCTTTGGTATTTTTGTATATTTACTATGTCAAATTGCTACACCGTGCCAGCCCGGGTTGCATTACCTATCCCGTCAACCTTTCATTGACCAAACAACAGAAAAACCTTTGAACTTGAGACTGTTCTAGCAGTAGTTAACTTGTGAATGTGTAACCCAGTAGAGCTGACTGTGCCTGAAACACAAAGACTTTAAGGTTAAAGGTTAATGGCGAATGGGCTTTTGTATTTACTTATTGATATTTATTTATGGTGATTATTAGATTTACTCTCTCTGGTGTTTTCTTATTGCTCTTTGTCTAATATTTTTTGTTCTGGCTTCAAGAATATGTTGACATTTAGATTCTCTGCCATTTTTCTCCAGTAGGGACAGTGGTTGAAACCTTGAGAAATGCAGTCTGTAATTTAGATCCAGAGTTTCCTTCTTCCATTATTCATCTTGTGGAAACATGGCTTAGTACCCTCTTTCTTCCCTTCTCTACCTTCCCCAGAATTGATCTGAAGTCTAACTCTAAAGAATAGGAAAAAGTAAAATTAATCCTGTTACTTAGTCAGCATTTCCAATTTTCCCCCCAATTATCAATATAGTTCAAGCTCTTTGTAGAAATACTGAAAAATAGAGAAAGGTGTAATAGGAATTAGCAGATGTTTTGGGGGTTGTCTTTGTTTTTGTTTTAAAGATCTCTTGACCTATGACTGGAACTGCTTAAGGAAAGCTTATTTTTCTACTGTAGGGTAGAATAGTAGAAAGATCATCAGGCTATAGAGGGCGGAAAATCCCAAATCTGGTTCTGCCTCTGCTATTTACAGCATTTTAACTTTTTGATGTTGGTCAAATTAATACTAATGTCTGTTTAGCACTTTAAGATGATTTCATACAGATTTTATTAGTGGCATTCAGTAGAGCAGGTATTAATCATCATCATCTTACAGATGAGGTGGCTGAGATGACTTTAGGTAAAATGATTTTCCCAAGGTTATGTGGTCGAAAATGGCAGGACTTCTGACTCTAAATTTGGTGCTGTTGCCAGTATTATACTGCCTTTTTGAATTTTTTTTTTTTTATCTTAAAGTGGGACTAATTTTTTCCCTTTCCTCATGGATTGATGTGAAGATCAAAGGGGATAATGATTATAAAATCACTTTGAACGTTGTAAACTTTTATATAAATGTAGTCAGTGGTGTTGTTCTAGAAGGTACTGCTGCTGGCCTGAAAAGTTTCATTTTATTTCATAAACTACCCAAGGGCATTCATCTCCTCTGGGGAAACCAGATGCTCCGTCTACTAAATTTTCTTTTGCTGCTTTGAGTTGGTTATAGAATCTGGTAGAAGTGTCTTCTACCCCACCCTGTTTTGTTCCCCCAGGGTTTGTAACCAAATTTCATGGAGGCTTTTGTAGTTTTTATACTGAGTACATCTTTATTTTCCAAAGACAGTATTCAAGACCAAGGCCTTAAAGTTTGGCTTTTAGGAATCCTTAAGTGACCCTGTGAGGTAGATTCTACTGTGAGCCAACTGGGGAATGTTGATTTGAGGTTGCAGCACCCTTGTTCTAATATATAAATGTGCCAGAGGAGAGGTATGCCATTTAAACAAAAGTGGTTTTAACCAGTAATAAGATTTATCAAGCTCCTTTATAATCTTCTTAGACACCACAATGCTCCCCCCTCAATTTAATTTTATTCTCTCATTTGGGTAAATATTAAGCCTTCAGGATACAGCCAGCTGCGAGTTAACAGTTGAGTAATTTTTTAAAAATTAATTTACACGGCATATGTAAATTAAGCCTGGGATAAATGTCTTCTAAAACTAGATGTTTATGAGAGATTGGCAGGATGAATAAAAACACATGATACAACTACAGAAAAAAAATAATAAAACTAGACTTTTATTTATTTATTTATTTTGGCAGCTGGCCAGGTGGGGATTGGTGTGGGGATCTGAACCCTTACCTTGGTGTTACTACACCATGCTCTAACCAACTAAATGGCCAGCCCCTAAAACTAGACTTTTAAAAGGGAAAATAATGCATTGAGGACATGAGAGTAGTGAGTATTTATACCAGTAGTAACATTGCTTAACGCGTTGAGCTTGTGCTATGTACTTAGAATGGTATTTAATCCTCAACCCTATGAAGTAAAGAATAATATATATTACTATTTTACAAGTGGTGAAACTGAAGCACAGTGAGGTTAAGTGCCAGAAGCTTGCTGCATGTCACACAGCTGAGGAAATAATAGCCAGGGTTCAAAAGCAACAGGTAATGCTCTTAACAACTGTGCTAGGGACATGGTTATACAGTCTGAAACTATTTAATAGTAAGAATTACTGAAAAATTACAAAAATCTTGCCCCCTTTTTAAAACCATATGGGACTTTTCTCTTTTAACTATCTTTTTTTTTTTTTTTTTTGTCTTTTCTTGTGACCAGTAAGGGGATCGCAACCCTTGGCTTGGTGTCACCCACACTGCGCTCAGCCAGTGAGTGCACTGGCCAGTCCTATATAGGATCCGAACCCGCGGCAGGAGCGCCGCTGCTCTCCCAGCGCCGCACTCTCCTGAGTGCGCCACGGGGTCGGCCCCTCTTTTAACTATGAATTTGGTCCCTTCTGGATGTGTAGGGACAGGATTCAAGATGGTTGTATCAATAAAACAGGAATAGAGCGCAGACTTATAACACGAGGGTTACCTTGAACTTTCAAAAGGAGAGAACAGAACCGAGGTTACCAGAAGATGAGAAAGGGGGAGATGGAGGGAGGAAGTTAGTGAGAAATTGGTAAAGGGTCACAAAAAATGATTTCATTGTGTAATGTTGAATATACTAATTATCCTGGTTTGAGCATCACATATTGCACACAGGTATTGATATTCAATGTGTTACCCCACAGATATGTACAATCAATTATGTTTCAATTTAAAAATAAATAAATAATAAAAATATAACACCGAGGTCAAGGGTTTGGATCCCCAAACCGGCCAGCTGCCCCCCAAAAAACAAAACAAAAACCAAAAAAACAGAAGGAAGAGTTGTGTAATTCATGAACTAATTTTTTCTTTCTTTCTTTCTTTTTTTTTTTTAAAGATGATGGGTAAGGGGATCTTAACCCTTGACTTTGTGTGGTCAGCACCACGCTCTCCAAATCGAGCTAACTGGCCATCCCTGTATAGGGATCCGAACCCGTGGCCTTGGTGTTATCAACACCACACTCTCCCGAGTGAGCCACCCTCATGAACTAACAGTTTAAATTAAATGTGTGAACAATGTTTCTTTGACTTGTTTAACATTGTTAAATTGTATGTATTCTGTCCTGGCTCCAGCATTCAACAGGCTTTTATTTTTCAAAGGCAAGAATTTTTTTATTTTATTTTATTTTATTTTATTTTATTTATTTTATTTATTTATTTTTTTTGTCTTTTGTCTTTTTCTGTGTCCGGCAATGGATCGCAACCCTCAGTGTTGCCCCCGTACCGGACCAGGGACCGGCAACGGGATCGCAACCCTCGG